TTATAGATATAGTATATTACAAAATTTAAAAATTATTTAATATTTCATTATATAAATTTTAATTAATATATATCTATAAACATGTAATTTAATTTGAATTTATTTAACAAAATACTAAATGATTTTAAAGTTTTGCAGAAATATATTTTTTTAGAATTTAAATATTTAATTAATTTATTATAAAATTTTAATTTCATGAACATATATATTTTAAACATAAACATGTGAGAGAATATATTGTAAAAGATAAAACTGTTCGTTGGTTTGGGTGTAGGAGCAGAGAATAGAGATCCGACAGTGTAGCGAAAAGGTAAAGGATTATTTCCAAGTGCTAACTGTTTGGTTTCGTTCCGAATTCAATTCTTCACTGTTTCTGTTCGTCAACCAACCAGCATCAGCATGTCAAAATTCTCTTCGTGGTTCTCTCGCTTGCGTTCTTCGTCTAAGCACTTCTACGGTTACCGCACCGCTCCCACCGTTTTCAACGGCCACCGAACCACCACCTCTCTGCTTCCTCTCGCTCTCGCTATTTCCGCTGGATCACTCGCTCTTCAACCACACTTCAACCCTTCCTTCTGCGACAACGATAGGTCCTCTTTTTTCAAATGCTTTATGCCTCAACTTCAATTAATCTTTATGTGATGATAATCTAACTTGTTCTAGAGCTAGGCCTAGGCTCGTCTTTTGTTGCGAAGATACCTAGTGGAGAGTGCAATCAACAACGTGTATGAGCGTATAGAGTTATAGTTATAGATTTTCTTTCAACTAGTATAGGAACTTGTATGCATGCATAACCTCATTCTTCTCCTACCTTCATATGAAGGTATAGTTTTCACTGGTTTTGAAGAGTTATTATTAGTTGTGATTAACAGGAAGCTTAATGTTTCACTTGAACTACGAGTCTGCTTGAATAGTCTCGATGAGTCAAGTAGTTGTTTGATGACTTTCTTGTAATGGATGTTAGAGGTGTGACTGTTGGGGGCAAAGGTAGCACTCAACTAGTTGTTAAGGGATCCAAGAAAGAAATTCCGCCGGAGCTTCTTCAGGAGTTGAGAATTGTCTGTCAGGTACAATACAAACTCTTGGCTTATATGAATATCTCGTGAATTTGAATTGAAGAAAGAAAGAATTGGCTTGGATTGGTTCTAATTTGTTTATTAATTATATTTGGAAGTTTCTTTTAGTTTCTCAGCTCTTTTTCTTGTCAAGCAGATTAGCTATGTATGTGTTTTTGGAAGGCAGGCTAGTCTTATTCAGTGGTTGGTTTTTAGTGTTCATGAATACTTCGAGTATGATATGAATGAAGTCAGACTAAATGAGCAGTTGTGTTGGGCCTTCATCCCTGATTATCAGCCTTAATTGTTATATTACTTGATTCCTACAGGATGACATATCGCTTGATTACGATGAGAGATATAACCATGGAAAACCACAAAACAGTTTTCACAAGGCTGTCAATATCCCAGATGTGATTGTTTATCCGAGGTGAGGCATGCTCTGAACTCAAGCTTTGCCTGAAATATCTGTTTACTTCCTCATTCATCTGATCATGGTTCTTACAATGCTGCAATGATTTAGAAAAATCTGATGTATGTGGTTGATTTCTTTGTTAAATTAAATTTCTACATAACATTGGTCAAGATGTAAATTTGCAGATTGTAAATTGAATCATTTTCATCACGTATCTGAATCTTGCAGATCTATATATTCATATTTCCATATGTTAAGTGCTTTCACTCCTGCATGCTTTTGTGTCTTATATCTCATTTTACCAAGAAGAGATTCCATGACATCTGTTTTGTGCATAGGAATTTCCCAACTCTTAGTCATTCTGGGTCAGACATGTCTATGCCAGTGAGATATATGATGTCTTATGTGAGTGATGTGTCATACAATAGATTTAAAAATGTGTATAACTTGTCCATCATTTTTTTCTATACAATGTATCAAAAAGAAATTTCATTTTGTTTTGTATAGTATTAGCATCTCAATTGGACGTGAATAAGTTTGTGAGAGTAGGAGAGATTTTTAAAATATTGTAATACGTTCTTGTTGGTAGAAGCTAAAACATCCACATGTATTTTTTTCTTGCATTGTACTCTTATTTGCAGATCTGAAGAGGAAGTCTCCAAGATTGTCAAATTATGTAACGATCATAAGGTTTGAGCTCTTCTAACTCACCAAACATTGTTTAGCATGTTCAAGCTGATTGCCTTACCCTCTTAACATTTTATTATAAAGCCATTTGGCATAGACCAAATCCTTATTATATCACTTTTGGTCATGCATTTTTCATCAAATAATCTGCATTGATTTTGCTCAACTAAAAGAAATCCTATATTTCTTCTGTTACTTTCATACTTGAATTGTTTTACATTTGCAGTCTATACCACTTTTCATCCTTAACAAAAATGCTTCAGTCTGCTTTCTTTGTCCAATTCTCAACCGAGACTTTCTTCCTTCATGAAATACATTTTTTTCTTCCTTTCGCTGCCTATTGAATTATCAATTTTTCCTCTTTATCTTTGTTGTAACCATATATCTATATTTTTTTGTTATAGCCCAGCAATCTTTCTAAAGCATAATGGGTCTCATAGGAACTGATTTAGCGGATCACAAATTTCAAAAGTATAATTCCGATTTTTTAGTCATTAACTTCTGTCGGGTCTATTTCTAATTTAGCTGTAGCTGACCTTTTAGTACCAACTTGCACAGTGATTGTACTGCATTCAGCATTTCTTTCGGTTAAATTCTATTAAATAATTCACCCCCACCCCCCTTGAAATAAATAAATAATAATAATAATATTGTTTCTTCTATCAGACATTTTATTTGAGCTTGTATTATAAAGACCAAAAATCCACGTGCCCTTCCCAATCAATTTTAATTTTGAATCAAGCTGTTATTTGGCATGTTATTAGAGTGCCTTTTTTGTGGAGAGTTTAATCCTTATGACTCCTATTCTTATACATAGTTTTGGCTTAAAATGGTCTGCTTATGCTTTGTATTACCAGTGTTATGTTTTTTTATGTGTTGCTGTTTACTGGTTTTCACTTGACAGATTTAGCATTTGTTGAAGTTGTCTTTGAAACTCTATTATTTTCCTAAAGAACCTTCTTTTCTTTAAAGTTTCAACAGATTATAAAAGGTAAAAGAAAGTTATGATTTTCATTTTTCCTCCTTTAACTCCCTTCTTGAATTGTTTGACACTGCAACTTTCTGTCAGAAATTTACTTGTGTTAAAAATGTGAATGCTAAATGTGTGTTGATAAATTATATCCTAATTATACTATTGTGGTCTATTGAGTAATTCACAGTCTGTTTTTACAGTATAATCCATCAAATTCAAACCTGCTTTAATTATTCATATGGTTGGAAATTGTGTGTCTTACATCCATTTGAATTTTTTAAAAAGCCATAACTTGTCTTCAATTTCATGGGAACATATTGTTAATAATAGATAATGATTGTATTCTTGAGAAACTGTTAGCTGCAGTTAACTTTTTATTTTTTTTTATTATTATTTTTTTTTGGTAACAGGTTCCTATTGTACCATATGGCGGAGCTACATCAATTGAGGGTCACACCTTATCCCCTCATGGAGGAGTTTGCATTGACATGTCATCAATGAAAGTATGTACATGTTCTATTATGATATTGGTACATCTGCATGTAATTGTTTCAAGCAGGACCATTACAATTTTGAAATATTTATTTGATTATGTAAAGTGTATTTGGCCCCATGTCTACTCAAGAGTTGCTGAACACACTTGTCTTTAATATGTTAGAGAATAAATCAGGCATGGTAGACTAGTTGAAAGTTTAAGATTATTGGATAAGGAGTGTTGAATCCATACTTGTCCTTTTTTTATTCTCATTATAAGCTGTTTATGGAGGAAATCTTATTCTTCCTTTTTGATCGCAGCCTTCACATAAAATTTTACCCCTCTTGTGAAAAAATAAGATGTCTTTTGGCTGAATTGAGCATGTTTCTGATGCTAAACTATAAGCACCTACCCCTACCACAGTCCTTAAGGGAAGAAGATATAAAAATGAAACACAAAGATGATGAGTTCTTTATGGGAAGTGCATTATCACCCCTGCCTGTGGTGTTGTCTTCAGTCTAATCAGGGAGCTATTTTACACAAGCATGCATTTAGTTCCAACAAGTATTATTTTTCTCTGAAATAAATTTTAGGGCTTGTATTGAATTGCTCTGTGGGATGTATTTAATTTGGTTGTCTTAAGACAGTGTTGAGAACTTGCAGACTTGATATGACTTCTCTCTTACTAAATGTCTTCTCCTTGCTATGTCACAATATTTGTCAGAGATGCAATATAAAATTTTGCGTTTTGGTGCATGACATTCTATGAAGTGCTGATACTTTAATTTGCTTCATGTGTTGTGTCTATATCCTTATCTGATACTCCTGGATACATATTGGTGAAGTATCCATGCCATGCCTTTAAAAAATTATGAAAATTCAATATAGCTACATGAGACATAGATATGTTTATAATTTAGTAAAATAGAAGCATTGTCACTTGATGAACAAAAAATGGAAATTGTCCTCTTTATGAATGATTTTTTTTGTTTTTAAGTAATGTCCAAGAAGTATGTTCTTAATTGGAATTTCCAAAATTGCAATTATATATTTATTATGTTGTATAAAAATTATACATATCTAGATACCTATTTTACCATGTATCATATCCTATATTTTTAGAATAATTGTATCACTATATTAGATATGTATTGTATTTGATACACATTGTTTCTATACATCATAGATGATAATCTTCATTGTTACTTGTTATCAAATGTTTTTTAATGCCACCAAGCATGTAGATCAATTGACATGGGTTTGTTACATCATAATTAGTGACCTCGAGTACGAGTCCTTGATATGCAATTGCATTAAAGATGTATTTGGATAAGCTTCTCTAAAAGTACTTCTAAGAGAGAAAAATAAAAATAAAAATCAAAATAAACTTCTCCATTAGCTCAAACTAGCCTATGCATGAGTTAAAAATAAGATTTTGGAGAAGTTAGTAGGAGAGAACTTTTAAAATAGCTTATGCATAAGCTAATTTTAGCTTATGAAGGAACTTATTTCATTTTTTCTTCCTATTTTGCTCTACTAGAAGTGCTTATAGAGAAATTTACCCAATTTATTGAATTTTTAGTATTGAAAATTGTGTTAAGAGTCAGCAACTGTAAATTTATTGATGATTAATGCAGTATCATTAGATTAATCTTGTCTATATGTGCATGTACCATTATGTAGATAGTATGTTTGCTCAGATGTATTTAAACATGTAGAAAACAGATCATGTGTCCCCGTAGGTACAGATTGGACACAAAAAGGTGAACTTCAACTGTTATGCTTACATCATATACTGGTATAATCTATAGAGAGTGAAAGCATTACATGTGGATGACATGGATGTTGTTGTTGAGCCTGGCATTGGGTGGATGGAGCTTAATGAGTATTTGGAACCTTACGGCTTATTTTTTCCACTTGATCCAGGTAAGTTGGATACTTGGATATGACCTGGGAATATCTCTGATAGTTGAAAGACAAACGAGGCCTATAAATCCAGAATAAAATGCTGATTTTAAGTTCAAATTTGTACTTGTTATGAGCAGGTCCTGGTGCTAGCATTGGAGGCATGTGTGCTACACGCTGCTCCGGTTCATTAGCTGTGAGGTAGTCACTTTTCTGTTATATGTATATTTTTGTTTGTTGCTGGTAAACACTGATACATGCTAATTTAAATGTTTCATCTTGCTGGGTGCCAAACTGTTTGCTTATAGGGTCATGTATTTGGTTTGAAGATATTTTGCATGAGGCTTATTACTAAAGATTACTTAACTTGATGTTGATGTAATTTCATCTCCCAAAATGCCCAGCTTTTCCATCCTACTGACCATAATGGTTCCCCTTAACAATTTGTAGGTATGGAACTATGCGTGATAATGTCGTCAGTCTCAAGGTTTGTTAATTCCAATTTTCAGTCTCTAATACATTGAAGTGCTACTGTATTTACAGTCCTATTTGTATTCCAGGTGGTTCTTGCCAATGGAGATATTGTGAAGACTGCATCACGTGCTAGGAAGAGTGCTGCAGGGTTTGTTATAGACCTTTCCCTTTATCTAATAATTAATTTCACTTATAATTTTTCCCCTTCTGTGAGCTTGTCAAAGGTCAAGCTAATATAGTTAAACTACAAAGGGAAAGATATTTGGAAATTCTATCCACAATAAAATAAAATCATAAAATATGAGGCAGTTCTATATTTCATTTATCCTGCTTGGATATAATGTTTGACATTTTAATCATCCCTCTATCTTTTAGTATGGCCTGTTTAGTATTTGAAGCTCTTAATTTTGGGTATTTCATCCCCAATTCTTATGCTTCATCCACTCTCCTTTGCTGGATGAACATAAAATCAATATAATTTGTCTTTGATCTACTCAATTGAAATCCTTTTGGCCTCAAAAGCATTTCCCTGCAACTTCAACTTTAGCACCCAAGTCACTTCATCTTGAATATGCCTAGTAAGTTTGTGTTAGACATCAGGAACCACAGGAGATAAATAGAGGGTTAAAAGTGTATTATAGGAAGAGGGGTACAAATAGGAATTAAACCTATTTGATCCTTTGACCTATTAGTTAGGTTTTCGGTAACAATTAGTTAGTTTCAGCTTTCTTTAAATAGGTCCTCTGTTTAGGGTGAGGAGGAGAATACATTGAAGTTTTTAGTTACCAACTGGACAGATTCCAGTGTGAAAGGAGTAGTCTCCTTTGTGTAATCATTTTTTTCTCCTAAAGATTCAATAAACTCGGACGAAGAATGCCTTTTTCCTTTCTGTCATCTCTGAGAACCTAACAGTTTGTTTGTGAGGAATGAGAAAATCTATACAAGGTTTAATGTCAAACCATGATATAAACCTATCTGCATTAAAAATTCTTTGCTTATACCTCATGATGTCCAAACCTTTGTTACCGCTTCAAAAAAGATACCCTTGGTTACATGAATGCATTATGCATGCTACACAACTCCCTTGCATTACATTCCAAAATACTTGAAAGAAACCCTATAGGGACTGTGTAATGACAGACTACTGATTTTTTCTTTAACTTATATATTCTAGGTATGATTTGACCCGCTTGATGATTGGAAGTGAAGGGACACTTGGTGTTATAACAGAAGTAACACTGAAGCTTCAGAAACTTCCCCAGTATTCAGTGGTACATTGATTAAATTTATCCTTTTCTCAAGTTTGTTTGATCCGTTGAACATTGTTATTGTGCTCAACATATTAAATTTATATGTTGCATTATTCTTTTATTTAATTTTATTAAAAATCATTTGATTTTTTTTGTTGGTTCTGCTCCATGACATATGTCAATGCAAGCTCTATCATCCAATTCTAAATTTGGATAGCAAGGTTGCTCGTTTCTAGTTTCTATTCTGGAATGCTTTTATGTTATAAACAGCAGTGCATCATAAGCTATGCAGCTTCCAATATTTAGATGTCACTTTTTTCGTTTTCTTCACTATAGGGTCATCTTAAAATTGTTCTATTCCTTTACTACTGCCCTATGTTTCTTCCTCCTGTCAATTTTAATGTCATCTCATCATTACATGGCCAATCCAAGCTCGGAAGAATGCAGTATATCCATTCTTCCAAATATCTAAAGTTGTATAAAACTATTTATTTAGATGTTTAATTTATTTATATCGCTATTCTGCTGTATTAAGTATTTAAGTTTCTATGAGTTGCTTTTCCATATCAATTTGATTTTGTGGGAAACCTTAGCAGCTGATCCACTCACAATGTTAGATAAATTTCCATTTTCTCACTTAATATCTTCTGGTACTTGCCTGTATTTCATGAAATTTGGGAATTGGCAAGTAGAGGTATAAAAGAATAAAGTCAGTTTGTTTTAACAATCTTGTTATATGGTCTCAAGTAAAAAATTTATTCTGAACTACAGTTCTTTACCTTCACTGTCAGTGTGTTTTTATTTAGATGGTGCATGGGGGAATGTTTTATTTTCTAGATAACTTATTACATGTTTTATTCTGCAAGAATATGTTTGGAGTTGTTACTATAGGTGTATAATTTGACTTATTTGGAATCATCTGGATTACCTTTCTAATCGAAGTGTGCAGGTTGCAATGTGCAATTTCCCTTCTGTGAAGGATGCGGCAAATGTTGCTATTGCCACCATGATGTCTGGTATACAGGTAGGACTCTGGTTCATAATTTAAAAATCAATATCTTTCTCTATCCAATTATGAGTTTCTTTTTATGTGGGTTAGGTGTCAAGGGTAGAGCTACTAGATGAAGTCCAAGTGAAAGCTATCAATATGGCTAATGGGAAGAATTTGCCTGAATGTCCAACTTTAATGTTTGAATTCGTAGGAACAGGTTGGTCCTTCCATATTCTGTTCTACAGGTGTAACTTTTTAATAGTTAGATAGCATAATATATATTAGCTGGATATGTTAGAATACCACAGATCAAGTTCATAATCTGCTTGGAAGCTTTGGAAATGTTAAGATCCAATTGCAACTTGCAAAGTATGGGATACAGACATGGGATTTATATGGCCTTTGATTCTTCCACCATAATGGCTTTTGTTGTGAAATTCTCCCAAGATTTCTATCAAGTCAAAAGTTGCAAATATGGAAGGTTTAGTGTAAAATGTGCACACATAGAAAGAAGGAAAGAAAGCAAATCTTATAGCATGATTTAATTTACTAGTTATGGCATAGTATGAAAGAGTGAAGATCAAAAGTTGTCTATGAAATATGCTACATATAGTATTCACAACAGTAATAAATAATGCAGGGTCCTTTTTAATGAGTGTTATATATACTTTCATTTCGTAAGTGTTATACCTAACTTAGCAATATATTCTTCACTTTTCAGAGGCATATGCACGTGAACAAACACAAATTGTTCGGAAACTTGTTTCTGAGCACAATGGCTCTGATTTTGTATTCGCAGAAGAACCAGAAGAAAAAAAAGAACTTTGGAAGGTAAAAGTTTATTTCTTTATTATGGTCAACATTGCCCCCTCATCTTCAAAGTGAAGTTTCTGTATGCATGTGTTTGAAGTTACATTTACACTGTTACTAACCTGATCATAGTATATACTGACTTTTTCATTGAGACGTGCTGTAAATGACCTTTAGTTAGTCAGTATTACTATTTACTTCTACATTTAAGCCAATATCCTCTTCATGTGAAGGTAAGGAAAGAGGCACTCTGGGCTTGCTTTGCAATGGAACCTAATATGGAGGCAATGATTACAGTGAGTTAATTATGAAATATTATATATTTTAATTTAATTTCTACATTGTTGAGTTCATGTTTAGTTTATAGAAAACAACTAAAGAATTTTATCTAACCCCTCAATAAAAAAATATTTTGATCTGATTAAATTGAAGATATCAATGTCAAACCAAGTCAATGGGGATCTAAGAGTGCACGTGCTTGTTGTGGATGGGGAAACAAAATGAAAAGAGTGATTTTTTCTTTCTTGAAACATTTTTTTATAAGCATTAGCTGTGCTGCCTTCCCTCTGAAAGCATCTTCATGTTAGCCCCTAAGATCAAAAGAATAGAAGGCCTGTGCGAAGACTTAAAAGAGAAGCATTTGAACTTTGAAGTGATGCTTTTTGTTTCTTCTCATATTTAAATACATTCAGATTTGCTGATTTTTTTTTTTCAAATGGAAGAGTTCCAAATTTTCTTGACTTCCAATTGCTTTTTTTTTTTTTTTGGGTGGGGATGGGGTGGGGGGGTATTTTATCTGCTGTAGGATGTATGTGTTCCTTTATCTCAACTTGCCAATTTGATTTCAAAATCTAAAAAGGAGCTGGATGCATCACCACTAATTTGGTAAGTCTGATCAGGGTTATTTGATTCCTGGATACTGAAGTTAGATTCAATTGTGTCATAATTCATGTTACTTGATGATGATGAATGATCAAACAAACTGATGATCAATACACGTATGTATTTTTCCTTGCCAGCACAGTAATTGCGCATGCTGGTGATGGTAATTTCCACACGGTTATTCTATTTGATCCTGCCCAAGAAGAACAGCGGCAGGAGGCGGAGAGACTCAACAAATTTATGGTTTATGCTGCCTTGTCATTAGAAGGTATTAACAATAACGTGTTGACAGTTTCTGTTGCCTGTTAGTGTGGTATTTCGAGTGCCTTTTAGCAATCGGTATTTTTCTTCTCAAAAGCCATAATGCAAGTATAGCAGTTGCAGTATTGAAATTGGTTTGTGTTGCTTCCAAACAGGAACCTGTACTGGTGAACATGGTGTTGGCACCGGAAAAATGAAGGTACTGCACTAGTGTCTGTGTTTCTTTAAAGCTTTACACATAATATTAGTTACTCATTCAAATTTCCCAACGCTGCATAATCTAACAAATCTTAAAATCTATATCTGGTGTCTATTAGGCTATTAGCTTTAGAAAACAAACTTCCACAGTAAGCTTGCTGTACAGTGGCAACAGAATGCCTTACACTATTAGAGATAAACAAGAAATAGGTCGATTCTGTGTTACATATCGGTTATTATTGAGAATCGTAGTTAACATGCAAAGATCGGCAAGAGACAGATAATGTTTTGATGCTTCATGGTTGTTTTAGATGGTATTTTATTTTCAAATGTGTTATTCCTTATTTTATAATTATGATTTCAGCTCTAAAGTACTAAAATTCTCATCCCTTGTTGCTTTATCCAGTATCTTGAAGAAGAACTCGGAGTGGAAGCATTGAGGACAATGAAAAAAATAAAAACAGTCCTAGATCCCAACAATATCATGAATCCAGGAAAACTCATCCCTCCCCATATTTGTTTCTAGTAGTAACGTGACTCCAAGAAGTATGTTTATAGTATAGAAAACCATGGATAAACATGGTCTTCTCAATTTTACAAAATCAACGTATTGCTGTTTGATGTTTCTAACATCAGGCAATATCTGTAGTATACATTTTCTCCATGTAATTTCTTCATTGAATGCTTCAGGCCATTTTTAAATTAAGTTTCATAATGTGTTAGAGAGTAATATGGAAAATATTACTCTTCTTTTGTCTTTTATTATCTGTAGTATACATTTTCTCCATGTAATTTCTTCATTGAATGCTTCAGGCCATTTTTAAATTAAGTTTCATAATGTGTTAGAGAGTAATATGGAAAATATTACTCTTCTTTTGTCTTTTATCATTCTGTTATTTCATTAGAATATTCTAGTTGTCACCTGTCCTATTTTGTTATGATTTGTTATTTTGTAATCATCTCTCGACAGCTGTACCAGCAGGAGGTGCTACTATAAAAGGCCCCTTTGTATTTCTTTACAAGCAAGTCAAATGAAATGAAAACATACCCTTCTCATTTAACCTTTTCTCTGATCCTCTCTAACATGGTATCCAGAGCCAACAGCTTTACAGCAAAACCCTAATTCTTTTCTTTTCCTTCTATGGCAATTGTTAATCCCCACCCTTCCGCACCCCAATATTTTTCAACCGCCATCGCTTAGAAACTTGATGATTCAAATTATCTTCACTGGCGACAACAAATCGAACCTGTTCTCAAATCGCATAAGCTTTAACGGTTCGTCGTTAATCCTTTGATTCCCTCCCGCTATCTAAATGATGATGATTGTGCCATTGACAAGGTCAATCCTGAGTACGAAGCTTGGGAAGTTCAGGATCAGATGTTGTTGACCTGGCTTCAATCAACTTTGTCAAAATCAATTCTCTCTCGTGTCATTGGCTCCGTTCACTCCTATCAAGTCTGGGAAAAGATTCATGAATATTTTCACACGCAAACGAAGGCATGCGCCCGTCAACTCCGTACTGATCTTCGTACTACTTCTCTTGATGGTAAAACAATGCGCGAGTTCTTGTCTCAGATCAAGAACATTGCTGACGAACTTGCTGGCGTAGGACATCCTTTTCCTCTTGACGAATATGTTGATGCGATTTTAGAAGGTTTACCACAAGATTATGCCCCGGTGGTTTCTGTTATTGAAAGTAAGTTTGCTACTCCTCCAATTGCTGAGGTTGAAGCTCTTCTTCTTGCGCATGAATCTCGCAACAACAGATTTTGCAAACAATCCTTCTCTCCTTCTATTAATTACACTCATGGGTATGCTCGAGGCAGTGTAAATCATGGTGGTGGCAATAGTGGTCGTCGTGGAGGTAGTTCTGGTAGAGGTCGTGGAGGACGTTTTGCAAACTTTCAATGTCAGATTTGCTTAAAATATAGTCATACCGCCAATATTTGCTTTTATAGAGCTGATGCAAATTATCACCCTCATGACTCTTTGGTTCTCTATGATCCTTCGACTCTGCAACCTGTGCAGGTCAATTCCCCCCCATCCATCACCAAAACCTCTAATTCTTGGGGGAATCCCACCTCCAAGCAACCCAGTCAAGACACTAATGTCAACTCGGTCACTCCCAGTGCTATGCTAGCTAATACTCCTTCTCAGGGTGCTGTCAACTCTACTTGGATCCCTGATTCCGGTGCTTCCTTCCATGTCACTGGTGAGCCTCAGAATGTACATCAGCTTGGTCACTTTGATGGCCCAGACCAAATTTTCATTGGAAATGGTCAAGGTTTGCATATTAATGGTTCTGGTTTCTCCTCCTTCTTGTCTCCTATTAAATCCAATTTTTGCTTTAAATTGAACGATCTTCTTCATGTTCCCTCCATCACAAAAAATTTGTTAAGTGTCAGTAAATTTGCCAAAGACAATTCAGTGTACTTTGAGTTTCACTCTCATTGTTGTTTTGTGAAATCTCAGGTGACCAATGAAATCTTACTTCAAGGAGTAGTTGGTTCTGATGGACTTTATTCCTTCTCAAATTTAGAGCTTCAAGGCCCCTCTGTGTTGGTGTCCTCTTCAATGGCATCATCTGTTGATCCTGCTGTGTCTGCTTGTCCCAATGCAGTTTCTAATTCCACTAATGCAAATAAATTTTCTGATGTATCTTTGACTCCTAGTTCTCACACTTTGTGGCATACTAGGCTTGGTCACCCCAATTCTCATGTTCTTAAACTTGTTCTTAATCATTGTAATATTGCTCCATCTAATAGAAATGGATTTTCATCCCCATCCCCTCCCCGTCGGGTATCGGGTATACCCGTACCCGTACCCGTTAATTTTTTATTTATTTATTTTTTTTAAAAAATGATATTTTTAAATTATTTTTTTATTATATTATAATTATAATTAAATTATTTATCTATCTCATACTATAATAAATAATCACACATAAAAAAATATTAATTTTTTAGTACATACCCGTACCCCGTACCCGTACCCGATTTAATATATCGGGTTTTACCCGTACCCGTACCCGTACCCGGTTAAACCGGGTATTCCCTGTCAAAATTAGGACGGGTTCGGGTATTACCCGCGGGTACGGGTATAGTTGCCATCCCTAGTTCTCACACTTCGTGGCATACTAGGCTTAGTCACCCCAATTCTCATGTTCTTAAACTTGTTCTTAATCATTGTAATATTGCTCCATCTAATAGAAATGTTTCTGAGTTTTGTTCTTCGTGTTGTGTAGGGAAGTCTCATAGACTTCCTTCTCTTGTTTCTGAATCTGTTTACTCTGCTCCCTTAGATTTAATTTTTACTGATTTATGGGGACCATCTCATGTTGTCTCACATTCTGGTTATGTTTACTATGTTTCCTTCATTGATGCTTTCTCTAAATTTACATGGATCTATCCTTTGAAATCAAAATCTGACACTTTATCTGTCTTTCAACAATTTAAAGCTATGGTTGAACTTCAGTTAAATACCAAAATCAAAAGCATCCAATCTGACTGGGGAGGGGAATACAGATCCTTTACTGCCTTTCTTGCAACTCATGGTATCACTCATAGATTAATTTGCCCTCACACACATCATCAAAATGGTGTAGTGGAAAGGAAACATAGACACATTGTTGACATTGGCATTACCCTACTTCATCATGCTTCCTTACCTCTTACTTTTTGGGATTATGCTTTTTCAACTGCAGTTTACCTAATTAATAGGTTGCCCACTGCCTCATTGAATTTTGACATTCCTTTCACTGTTTTGTTCAAACAAACACCAGATTACAAATTTTTAAAGACCTTTGGATGTGCCTGCTTCCCTTTCTTAAGACCTTATACTACTCATAAACTTGATTTCAGATCCCAGGAATGTGTGTTTCTAGGGTATTCAAATTCTCACAAGGGCTATAAGTGTCTGTCTGCTTCAGGAAAAATTTACATTTCAAAGGATGTGATTTTTAATGAAACAAGGTTTCCTTACCTTGATCTTTTCCAGCACACTTCCACTCCAGTACCCTCCCCTTCTCAATACTTCACTCTCAATCCAGATCTGTCTCCTCCATGTTCTCATACTACTGCATCCTCTCTACCTTTTATTCCTGTTTCAGAGACTAGTAATCATAGTGGTCAAGATAATATTTTATCTGTGTCACCCACTGTGTCACAGTTCAATTCCACTCCTTCATCCCCTGTGTCTTCTACTCCCACCAATACTGTTTCCAGAACTATTAATAATCATTCTATGCAAACCAGGTCCAAGTCTGGGATTTATAAACCGAAGATGCCTCCTTCTTTATTTTTGGCTCATAGTGAACCGAAAAATGTCAAACAGGCTCTAAGTGATCCAGATTGGTTTTCTGCCATGAAGCAAGAATACTCTGCTCTTTTGCAAAATCATACATGGGATTTAGTTCCCTTACCCTCTAACAGACAGGCTGTTGGGTGTAAATGGGTATTTCGGGTCAAAGAAAATGCAGATGGGTCTATCAACAAGTTTAAAGCTCGTTTGGTAGCAAAGGGGTTTCATCAAGTTCATGGTTTTGATTTTCATGAGACATTTTCTCCTGTTATTAAACCTATCACCATTCGCATTATCATTACTCTTGCTCTTACTTATAATTGGCATTTATTTCAATTGGATGTGAATAATGCTTTTCTTAATGGCATCTTGGAAGAAACAGTTTACATGGTGCAGCCCCCTGGATTTGAAGTTGAAGATAAGTCTCTTGTTTGTAAGCTCAACAAGGCTCTCTATGGTGTTAAACAGGCTCCCAGGCAGTGGTTTGACAGACTTAAGTTCACTCTTCTTCAATTTGGTTTTCAGGCTAGTAAATGTGATCCTTCTTTGTTCATGTACAAGCATCAAGATCAGATTATCTTTCTTCTAGTCTACGTGGATGATATTATCATTACTGGCAGCTCTTCTCAATTTATTCAGCAGATTACTGATCAACTTAATTCCACATTTTCATTAAAACAGCTGGGCCAATTAGACTATTTCTTGGGCATTGAGATCAAACATTTACCTGACAAGTCCCTTCTCATGACTCAAAGCAAGTACATTCGAGATCTTTTACATAAAACCTCAATGGCTGAAGCTCATCCAATTTCTTCTCCTATGCTCTCTGGCTGCAAATTATCCAAGTCAGGTGCTGATTTATTTCACGATCCAACACTTTATAGGTCCGTAGTTGGTGCTTTGCAATATGCTACTCTCACAAGACCTGAAATAAGTTTTGCAGTCAACAAAGTTTGCCAATCCCTTGGATTCTCACTGGGTGGCTGTGAAAAGAATCCTTAGATATCTTAAGGGTACTCTTTCTCATGATCTTCATATGAAATCTGCTGTTCTTGGAAACCTTTTTCCATTACAGCTATGTGTGATTCTGATTGGGCATCTGATATTGATGACAGAAAATCTACCTCTGGTTCTGCTATCTATTTAGGACCTAATTTGATTTCTTGGTGGTCCAGAAAGCAGCAAGTTACAACTCGATCCAGCACTGAGGCTGAATACCGCAGTATAGCTCACACCTCTGCTGAATTAACCTGGATTAAGGCTTTGTTACAGGAACTTCAGGTTCCTTTTTCCACTCCTGTTCTCCTCTGTGATAACCAAAGTGCAGTAGCTATTGCTCACAATCCCGTTTTTCATAGTCGCACTAAACACATGGAAATCGATGTCTTTTTTTTGTTCGAGAGCAAGTTCTATCCAAGCAGCTTTTGGTTTACCACATTCCAGCTTTGGATCAATGGGCAGATGTATTGACCAAGTATCTTTCTCCATCCAGATTTCAATTTCTTCAGGACAAACTCAATGTGAAGAGTTTTTCTAACAAACCTCCACCTTGAGTTTGTAGGGGGGTGTTAGAGAGTAATATGGAAAATATTACTCTTCTTTTGTCTTTTATCATTCTGTTATTTCATTAGAATATTCTAGTTGCCACCTGTCCTATTTTGTTATGGTTTGTTATTTTGTAATCATCTCTTGACAGCTGTACCAGCAGGAGGTAGCTTCTATAAAAGGCTCCTTTGTATTTCTTTACAAGCAAGTCAAATGAAATGAAAACATACCCTTCTCCTTTGTATTTCTAACATCAGGCAATATCTGTAGTATACATTTTCTCCATGTAATTTCTTCATTGAATGCTTCAGGCCATTTTTAAATTAAGTTTCATAATGTATGAGGAAATTCCATATGAGAAGGTTAATAAGACTCCTCTTGTCATTTCAGACCATATCAAGCTATAATGCATACTTACATATATAATTTGTGTGAAAGACTTGTTTCTAATTTCAATCGTCAAATGAGTTTTGTACTAATCTATCGAAGTACTTAGATCTATTTAAGGAGTTTATTTTTCTTCAATAAATATTTTTTTTATACATATCAACTAAAGATCGTATTCCTAATATACTTGAGAGGTAGAATTATTTATTAATTATATCACATCTTATTAGTAGAAGAACTTCTCGTTAAGTGATAGTGCGATAATGATAAATCTTGCAAGCTGTATAATATGATTTCATCATGTGATAAATCTGACAATATAGATCAAAAACATGTATTTGAATAAAAGCAAGAATTAAATAGCGTTCATTTCTTTAGGAATCATGTTAGTTATCAAAGCTAATTTGATAATATAGATTAAAAACGTGTATTTTAATAAAATAAAATAAAAATAGTGTCCATTTCTTTAGCTCACTGAACAATTTAATTCAAATTAATATTAGAATATTCTAAAAAATTTCCACAAAGGTATGTTTGTAATAATTTTAGTATAGAATATTTTATCAATGCATTAGTGTTTGGTAGGAGGGAATGAAGGAGTGGAGTGAGATTTTAAAACATTTTTAATATAATATCTAAAATATTTTTATATTTATTTTTTGAATTTGAAATTATAAGGATATAAAGATAAATTAGTTTTTAAAATTTTTCTCCTCTCCTTGAGTCAAATAAAAAGAGTTATTTTTAATTCTCTTCTCTCAGTCAAATAATTTCTAACTCATTCCTTCCCTTCTCCTTCATTAAAATCTCTAACCTTTTCTCCTCTCTTATGAATCAATAAGATAAGTTACTGCAATAAAATATGTGAATTTCTTATTACATTCTACATGTTTGAAGGTAAATTATGCTCTCCAAACAAGCTAATAAAATGTAAATTCATGTTAAAAATTGTTAGCAATATTTTTTTATGAAGTAAAATTTTTGTTGAACTTTAGTCGGGAGTTTTATTTACTATTTTACAAGTTTTACATGAAGTTCACCTGAGCGCAGCTAGGCCTAATACTCTTACTTTTTTTTCTTCTTGTTTATGCATGCTTGATACTCTTACTTTCTCCTTTTTATCTTAATAGTAAAAACTAATATATTAAAACTGTTTTGTTTGGACTTGGGTTATCCTAGTATTAAAAAAACAGAGACTAATATGTTAACATTTTTCATTAGTATTTTGTTTTTTTTTTATCAAATTAATATTTTGTTATATCATGGTGGATACGTCAATAATATATTATTTGGAGTTACACTATATATTCACATTTTTTACATTCGGACAAATTTGGATTTGCATCACATGTACAAATGATGTGCAATTGTATAAGGAGAACTAGAACCACAAAACACTTCAGTTTATCTTGTATAATAAGATGAGGATGTTTTCAATTAATTTTATTGCATGTGTTGTGTGATGTGATGAGATTGGCTGTTTGAGGACATACACAAGGATAACAATTGATATTTTGATACTCATCTCACATGACTGGGTTAGATAAGACTAAAAAGACTCA